TTTTTAAACTTTTCGCACCATTCTCGATCATGCTTCTAAGCATTTCAATGTTCTTGAAACATCTTGCAGCAACACGGAGCAACGTCGAACACCAATGCACAGGGTGAAGAAAGTACTGAACAACAACCAAGCAGAAAGGAACACATCACCGGCTCAACTAAGATGAGCCCCAATACTGCTTGATCATCGCGCAAAATTGTGATATTAATACGCTTTCTTTGACTATGACAGACTACGATGCGCTACGTGTCTTGGCAAAGACCAAGAAGACCAATGCAGTTAAATGCCCCAAAAGCATCAAAGAGATTAAACATCAAAACGTGAGCAAGATAAAGAGCAAGATAATGCACTGCGGTACTACAAGCATAAAGTGGCAAGTGAAGACATATGAACATGCAAGAGCACAAGAAACCGTTCAACAAAAGCATGAAAAAAATCTGCCAGCGCCAGATTGCACCCACCCAGCGCATTCCAGCCAGGCGTCTTTTTTCAGCGCCAAGAAAGTTCCGGGTGTGCAACCGGCATGAATCGATGCTTTCCACAGGAAACTTTGATGAATCGGTAGCCATTAACCCCCCTTAAAGGGTGGTGAGATTATGTCATATCATGTCCACAGTGCTGACAACATAAAGCAAAAGAGAACAAAGCAGCAGCTGCCTTTCATGACTAAGGTTGAATGATTCGCCCGTTTCTCACCCATGCTTCTAGGGCAGCTAGGGCATTTTCTTGACCTTGTGAGGTCGTTGGATTGGCCAGCGTGAAAGACCATGAACGACATGCCCCAATTGCCGAAAACAAATTCCAGCCACAACATCACCAGCTTCAATGGACAACACCTACTTTTGAAAGCTTTTGCCAAACTAGGTGTTGAAAATTGAAGGTCTGGTGTTTTGCGAAAGACACTGGATAGAATGTCTTCCAAAGGCACACGTACTCACGGGTGATCTCGCGGACGTGTGGACATCTTTGAGCATTAGTGAGGCTGTATGGTGCAGTTGAAAATGGTTGAAAACAATTGAAGCATGTTAAAACGATGTGTCGCTATAGGAACATAAGGACCGCCACAGCAACATAAAGGCAGTCGCAGGACGTCATGTAGCAAATTCTTGAACAAACTAGGACACAGCGGGATTTTTGTCACATAAGTGCCACATGTTTGTTTTATTGCTTTTCAGTACATTCCCAATCATGCTTCTAAACGTTTCAGTGTTTTTGAATCATCTTGCAGCAACAAGGAGCAGCGGAGAACACCAATGCACAGGGTGAAGAAAGTACTGAACAATCATCAAGCAGAAAGGAACACATCACCGGCATCATGGCGCAAAAAATTGTGATATTGATATGCTTTGACTATGACAGACTACGTTATACGATGTTTCTTGGCAAAGACCAAGAAGACCAATCCCTTAAAGCACCAAACAGCTTAAAAGCAAAACGTGATCCAAATAAAACACTGCGGTACTACAAGCTCAAAGTAGCCAGCGAAAACGTGTGAAAATGCATGAGCACAAGAAACCATTCAACAAAAGCATAAAAACTTTTCTGCCTGCACCATATTGCACCCACTCAGCATATTCCACCCATGTGTCTTTATTGAGCGCCAAGGAAATTCCGGATGTGCAGCCGGCATGAATCCATACTTTCCACATGTAATCTGCTGATTTGCTGAATCCGCAACCCCCCCGTTGAAATTGGCTAGCCATTACACCCCCCCGGCACATCAAAGTCAAGCACAACGTACATGGTGCAAATCATGCAAATTTACAAGTCACATCAAGTCACATCAAACCACATATATTGAAGCTTGATGTTGTTTGGAGAAATTTGGTGACATTCGTTGATACATATGGTGTCCTAAGGTATCCTAAAATATTCTGATACAAGCTGGTGCAAAGATATGCAAAACTATATCTAGCTACAAGTAGTTCTGCATAGTTGTTATGAAGCTCTAGTTAAAGTGTGTTGAAGTAAGCTGACATACATATCAGCAAATCTCAGCATCACTTGAGACAACAACATTGCTGCAATTCAGTCAGGTTAGTGCACTGCAAGATACTGCAACATATTGCAAACTCTAGCTGCTAGCTTCAATGGCCAACACCTACTTGCACCTGCCTGCCTCATCTTCACTCAAGGTTCAATAACCTTCAAACACCTTCACCTTCAACATCTTCATGAAAAAGCACGTACCATCATGCCCTACCAATCATCATCGAAGATCTGCTGGGGCAGTGACCGGCTTCACCGATGACAAAAGACTACGGACTGGATGTTGCTGGAACAAAAACAATTGGCTGTGGTGCGCGGACCAGGCACCATTCTTAAAAATACAGTATGTGTTCATATGTTTTCAATCGTCATGTGATAATTTTAAGTCAAGATATACCAACATACCAACATCTATCAACACATCCAACCACATCCAACCACTGGCGATGAATGTGGAATGGTATGGTCATGAAATTCATTCCGACCTCACCGATGACACCTGCCAGTTGATCTGTATATCAGCATGCAAAAAAAAACAAAAATAAATACACACATATACAAATCCTACAAAATTAAATGGCTAATGGAAAATGGCTAGCCACCACGTACCCCCCCCCATTAACCATTTAGTTAGGAGGGGTGATAGTCATACCTTTTGAATTTCCGCTTGGCCCCCCCTCATGGTCCCACGTCCCCCGCGGCGACTGATGATCCCCAGGCGCCTGCGATGTGCTTGGTGACGAGATGACCGAAGTGGATGCGCTCCTGCGGCACGATCACATCGAGGTATTAGGCACCACATGGAGACCTGCCAGGCCTAAGCCCCCTTGGAAGAAGGACCATCAAGAGCCATTGGGCCAAGGGGTCCTGCTAGCAAACACACACTACCCAAATGAGGACTAGTCCATATCCCTTTCCAATCCGATCGACAGCCTGTAGGTTGAGATGATCAATCTGGAGCAATCTGGAGGTCCAGAACACTCCCGAATACTCCATGGGCTGGCATTTATACGTCATTTGGGGTGGTTGACCCGCGGTCAATGTAAGTATTGCACGGAGTGTCTGGCGCCGGATCTAGAATGGCTGTACATCTCCAGGCCTGGATGGTTTTATGAATCAAACGTATTATATATAGACGGTGTTTTTTGTGGACGTTCTGGTTGACGAAATCCAAAAACAAATCAGAAGAAATCCAAACAACCGTGCCGGACGTCGCAAAACAGCTTTCTAAAATGAGGACGTCCTCAGGACGTCGTGTTCGTTGGGGAGGTGGTCCGAAGAGATTCCCAGGTGGTCCGAAGAGATTCCCAGTCGAGTCTCCTATCCTACGCCATCCGGTGAACACCATGAGACAGCACCATCTGCGGATCTATGGACTCCTTTGAAGATCCATCAAATCTCCTCGGAGGATTCTGAATCTGGACTACTATTCGGCCAGTTCGGGAAAGGGTTGCTTCGGGAGTTCTCACCTGCTTGAGGATTGAATCAACCTTATCATCAATCCAATCAATCCATTCCCCCCATCTGAGCCCACCGGCATTGTCGCGCAAGGGCACGGTGGCATCCTGCCGCAACAAGGATTGGTGTGGAGAAGCCCCGTGGCCAGGGCAGACCGGCTCATAAGGCCCTGAGAGGCCCGGCCCTTCGAGCCCACGCACGTAGGCATAATACCCCTCTCCAATGAAGCACAGGAAATCCAACGTTGAATATCACCTTCCAGCAGTTTTGTATCTTTTTCTCAATGTTTTTCCGTGTTTCAACCAATGTGAACAATCTTCATTGACCTGATGTTCACCATGGAGAATCGTCTGACGACTGAAAAGTCTCTTGGTATTCCAAAGAATTATACCGCACTACAATACAGTGCTACAGTACAAGGAAGTCCGAAACAAACCTTTTTTAGTGTTCACATGTGTTCACTCAACTAACTTACTACTTTTGGTGCTCATTGAATCGTCTGAGTCCTGAGTCCCAAGTCGGACATCCGAAGATAGTGAACACTCTCCACCTGAACTGAGCTGAATCTCTTCAGCGTTCACTCAACTCTGGTCACGGACTGCCTGGCTAATCTCCACTCCGTCGATCTCCAGCAAGACATCATCCTCCTGAGGCTGGAAATCGGCAGCACTCGTTTTCTTTGTTGGTTCAATACACCCAACATTTGAGGTTTTGCTTGGAAAGAACTTCCACAGTCATGAAGTATTGCGTTTAGTATCTTTAAGTTGTTTGTTGTTGGTGTCTGAAGTTATGCCTGTCTGTGTTGAGGATTGCAACCACTATCAATATTGAATATTGAGATTCCAAAGATGCATCAGGATGATTCTTCACATTGCAAACCACAAGTCATAGTCTGTCATTTCTGCCTGCAAATACCATACGAATCCATATATGAATTATCCACCACCACTCCAACAATCCATGCGCCGTACCCGATGACACCGGCGCCTGCATGACTTGGGCAGAGGATCCCAAAGGGAACACCCGGCACAGCCGCACGCCGGTGGTGCAGCCCTGCCAACGGTGGACCGTGACCGCGAACGGTGGAACGGTGGGCATGGACACCGTTCTCATGGTTTTTCTCCTGCTCGATGGTGGTCTGGTACAGCTGCAAAACATGGCCACGTAAGCTGTTTGGAATGGAGAGACTGGCTCTCAGACGGCGGAGTTGCTGGGGACTGAAGGCCCATCGAGGACAGTGACGAGTTGACCTTGCACCCCGGAGTGTCCGACTGAGAGTTGACCTGTGTCACTACCTGTGTCCCAGTCACAGGTCGCTCGCGATGCCGAACTGGAGGAAGGAGGTGCCCGGTGCCCGATCGTGAGTGGTCCAACCCAGGGCATCTGCCCCCATCCGAGCCTCCCTTTTTTCGGGGCCCGCTTTGCTCAGCAGTCGGAGCGAAACTCCGGCCAGACGCAGGTGGGGTCTGCCACGCAGTGTCCCAGTGAATGGAGCCTGGGTCTCAATGAAGCCTGGGTTGTCATTCTTGAAACATGGGGAGAACCGACAAGCACAAGGATACCTCTGGCCATCAAGTTGTGGATTAGCATCTTATCAAGGCTCTATGATGACAAACATGAAGGGGAGATATGACACAAATGACGAGAATGGGATGCTGTTTGAACTATGGGCATCATCGGACGCTCAGAATCACTCAAACTTAGCAATCAGCACTCGGAATCCATTTCGGAGGCAATATGTTCCGTTCGGATTGCGCTCCTTGAAAGGGATCCCAAACAAAAACATCTGAGCGGACCTGGGTCGCACATTTTGGGGGTAGAACTGTGCGGACCATGGCCGCACCTTTTCGATGGGGAGCGGCTGTGCCTTTTCGATCGACGTGGGACCCCAAAACACCCGCGACTGACGCGAAATGAAGAATCTCTGCATCTCCGACCCTGCCTGCTGCAGGGGTTGGTGATTTGTTCAGCTGTTTTTGTGTGCCCAAAACAAGCACCAAAAATATGGACGTCTTCAAATGCAAGTGGTTCATCGAATCAACAACTACATCCAATCCACTTGATTCTCCACCTGATTCAGCTGTGGCACACAACGCACCTGGCCATCTTCATGGCCAGGAAGACTCAACTGGGAGGAGACCACTCTGCGACAGTGGCCATGGGGTGGACCAAGTTGTCTAGAGAAGTTATGGCCAAGTGGCCAAATCCAAATCTGCGAACCTACGAGCCAAAATAGATTTGGGACACCATGATGATCATGAATCACGAATCTTCGGGGGGAACATTTGTTGGTGAAGCGTGTGTTCATTCTTTGTTCCTTCCTCATTCATTTCAAGAGACCACAACCTTTTCCACACCGAAAAAGTTCAAGGAGACCATCCTCTGCAACAGACCATCCTGATGCCAAAAGTCTCAGCTGGACCCTTCAGTGACCAGCCTCTGATTCAGCAGGACCAGGACTGTAAAGTTAATGTCGAACTTAGGCAACCAAAGTGTTCGCACTTTCTCTTCGTGCAAAGGCAACCAAAGTGTTCGCTGCCGTGTACACAACAAAGAAGTTAGGCTCTTCGTGTGATTCTTTGGATATTGATAGGGAGGGAGACTGCACTACCTGTTTGCTGATCCAAACTGCTGCCAAGGCAGCCAATCCTTTCCTTCTGCTTTCGGCTTCCTCCCCGCGGCGCTGTACATCCGCCTTGAGATGCTCTAATTGAATTGAGGACAACGAGGCGTGAACAAATTACAAAAAAACACTTTTACAAGTGAACCACCTCCCTACTGACAAAACTACATCCAAAGTCTTTCCAACTAAGCACCCCAAATATCCAAATTCACTTCTCATCCCCTCTATCCTGTCGTGTGGTTTCGGGCAGGCCTTAAGAAGGGCCCCCCATGAAGGATCAAGAAGGGCTATCAAAAAACAATGCCATATAGGTTCAGGTACAGCGCTTCCTAAGAAAACGCAGCCAGTGGTCTATGGCCTAAGGTGCAGGACCATATAAAAAATGAAAGCTAGGTACAGCCTAAGTGTTTCCTGCTTTCATTTTTCTTTCAGCGCTGTCGGAAGGTTTGGGGGCGCCCTCGGACTTGCTTTGAAGGGCGCTTCAGCTCGTGGAAGTCAGATGGCATGTTGGCCGATCAAGTCACTGCCATTCGGTGGTCCCAACTTCTTAAACTCCAAATCCAATGTGTTTTGTTTTCGATATATATATATATTGTATATTGCTGCTACAGTGACAGGCACCATGATACACTCAGGCCTTGGAGGGGAAACATTGGCCACCCTCCAACCATCCCTAGTAAAATATATCAACTGAAGCATGGTTTCTGCAAACCACACTAGAAAAGCATTGTCATTGATCCCTTTAATTGCCTCTGGCAGCGCCACCGAAATGACCCTGAGGTAAGCCCTGCTTGCATGGGCAGTGTCAAGAATAATTATATAGACTTCAATACTCCCAAAGATAGGACTGGCATCAAATTGTAACGCATGCCGCATTCTTCCTTTGACACCAGGAAACCATTAGCAGGAGGCATTTCTTTTGCTATCTCTAGGACTCTAAGCAAGAGAGTCCGAAAAAAGACAAAAACACATGCGCTGTCTGAAACTGCCTCCGTCATTGTCCGATGTGATCTTTCACAGCGGTGAAAATTGAATTCGGAAAGCCAAGGAAGCGGGAGATGCAGGTTGACAAGAAGGTTGCCTCGTTGGGTGTGACTTTACCATACTTTACTCCTGTTCTGTGGAACCATAGACTCGGGAATCAAAGCTGGACGAAAATGGCCAGTTGGAGATCTGGTTTTCCAAGCTCACTCATCTGCCGGAGCACGATCTCCTTCCCGGTACTCTTTGTGAAATCCTGATATGCACCAGTAGCCAACGTGGATCAGGTTATGCCGCACACGATGCACACGATGCACACGTCCAACCTCATAAACCCCATACCGACTGATCGTATGGATGACCGACTAATCAGGATCTTCTCGAAACATCGGGCAAAAACTCCGGACTTGTTCGATTTGTTTATTTGGAGAGCAAATACGTTTTCATGACTCAGTATTGATTGGGGAGCCATCTCTACTGCAGCAACCTGGATTCTGCGCTTCGTGTACCCCTGCACAACAAGTAAGTGGTATCGACCTAAATACGTTCATCGCGCATTCGATAAAATTCTGACCAACTGGGAAACTGAGGGTTTTCTTTGCACCAAAATGACATCAGCATTGACGTTGAGAGCACTCAGGGAACCAATCCTTTTGATGCTACTTGGGATAAACATGAAGCCGTAGGGTTTTGGCAAGTCATAGTAATTACCTTTCTTCCATCAAACTCCTACGTGTTCTCTCCGTGAAGTTCACATCTAGTCCAAGCTGGTGGCGGCATCGGCCTGATTTCGCCTCCAAATCCAGTGGAGGAGCAACTCGATTTCGCCTCCGAATCAACCTCTCCTGTATTGGCGCAACTTCCACCCGCCCAGATGGTGGGTCCGGATGGGACTGACGATATGTCTCCCATATGGGCAAGAACATGCGTCTCGACGCAGTACTGACGCAGTATATCTTGGGTATACGGCATAGACACCCAGGGCCCAGTGGATGATGGTTAGGTTGCGGTTGCAGGCCTTTTGTTCTACTGAATAATATGTTACCGACTGTTACTGGCAATGGGACACAGCCTATGCTGGATATCATGCTGGATCGGTCGTATTTGCATGACACACTGTGTACAGTATTTGTGTAGCATGGGCATGGGGCATCAAACATGCAGTATGTTTCTTCAAGGTTGTATAAACATGCTGCTGACGCACATGTTTTTCACAAAGTAAAGCATGTCACAAAGGTCAAGGTGACGCTGAGCATGAGCATGTCTGCCTGAATCTTTCAGAACACACCATGTTTTGCCTACCTCGCCTACATCGCTGGTCCCGTCATCCCCAGCAGGGTTGGAAGTTGGTGGTCTAAGTTCTCTACATAACTTTGGCCTCCAACATGAGCCAAATGCACAGGCCCATAAGCAAGGCCATGCCTGCGGAAATGTATATCATGTATCTTGTTTCTTTGTATGACATCCCCTGAAAACCCAAACCAAAAAGCATGAGAAAACCCGAAAGTGTGAAGGGATATGTCTGAAGATGTTTGAAGCAGCTGGACAGTGTGGACACGGCTCAAAACAATGTTCAGTTTCATCGGATGTCGACTCCTGTCACTTCAAAACTGACTCCAAGCTGTTTCTGAAAGCAGGTCTTGTGGCCCCTTTTTCTCGGAAGAAACACACCCGTGAAACGAGGGTCCGCTGGTAGAATCAATGAAATGATTCGATTTTGCCGCTCATAGATACACTAGTACTGGTGGCACTCAATAGACCTTGACTACAAAAGCATCCCCTTCATAAGACATATTATGTCTTATGAAGGGGATATATATATATATGTGTATACCGAGCAAAACGTACTTCCGTTGCTGACATCTTGGGTCTTTCAGAACCAAAAAAGAAGAACTGCAAGACGTTGGCGACATCTGGCCCCAATCAGAGGCAGCACAAAAGATCGCTGCCCACGAACGCCGCGCTTGTGCGTAGCGAGCAGCGAATGGGTTGCGGGCGCCCGGCCCGACGAGGGATTTCCATCTCAGCCTGGCTTGGAATCAGGTCCTGATTCGCGCCAGTTGGCGAGCGCAGTGAGGGTAGTGAAATGGAGCTGACAGTGTCTGCGGGTTGAGTCAAGTAAGTTCTGTGATGTTTCGTGCCAAGCTTCGAATCAAGTAAACTCTGATGTGTGCCTGGGTTGCTAAGCACCCCAGACACTCGGAGTTGACATAGTGCTGCAAGTACCGTACCATATGTCATAATTGTGTTATATGGCTCATGTGTCAACTCCAAATGCAAAGTATTACATGCATATTATTCATATGTGCATATTGCATCATATTGCAATAGATGTGTTCTTGGACTTGGACAGTGATGGATCATTGGTGAAAGAAACCTCTTGGGGATGATCATGGTCATGATCCCTTCCTCTTTACGCGGGGTTTTCAGGGTGACCACAGGGGACGAC